CAAATCTGTGCGTACAACGGTTCTTGCATGAGGTCCAATGACCCAAAACATAGAAGTAAATCAACAACTTCAACAAAAGAAAACACACCTTCTGGACTGGCCCAGAGTCCTGACCTCAACTCAACTGAGGTGCTGTGGCCTGACCTGCAGACACATTCACACCACATATCCCAAGAATATTACTGAACTGAAACAGATTTGTGAAGAGGAACGGTCCAAACCTCCTCCTGACCGTTGTGCAGGTCTGATCTGCAGCCGCAGGAAACGTTTGGTTGAGCTTACTGCTGCCAAAGAGACTCAAACAGTTATTAAATCCAAAGGTTCACAGTCTCTTTCCTCCCTGCACTGTGGATGTTTACATGATGTTGTGTTCAATAAAGCCATGTGGTGTAAGTTTAAGCAGACTGTTGGTCTATTGTTGTGACTTAGATGAAAATCAGAACACATTTAATGACCAATTTATGTAGAAATTCAAGAAATCCAAAAGGCTTCACATACTTTTTCATGCAATTGTATGTGTTTTATCCACTAAGGACAGGTGTGACTGAATGTGAGAAGATGATAAATCACTCATAAGACCTCTGAGAACATGATTACACCCTTGGTTCTGACGCTGCCGGTCCTGGTTTCTCTGCAGACACAGCAATGGTTCCTGGCTCACCGCCGCTGCTCTGCGGGAAAGTGTCCCGAGACATCAAGCAGGAGCTGGACAAACTGAGTGGGGACATCCGGTCCAAGAAGCTGCGCTGGTTGTCTGAGTGCTTCTCGGTAAATTTATCATTTATAAGTTTAAATCCATGGCAAAAGTTATTTTTAAAATATGTTTTAAAGGGGTGAAACAACATCAACATAACAAGAAATTAATGTCCACTTTGTGACATCTGTAACATCTGTGAAACATTTCAAGTAAAAAGAGCTGTGCTAAAAAAATAAAAAATAAAGAGATATGTTTCCTCGTCCAGCCTCCAGGGGGCAGCAGTAACCTGTGTTTCTTCCTCCAGCCTCCAGGGGGCAGCAGTAACCTGTGTTTCCTCCTCCAGCCTCCAGGGGGCAGCAGTAACCTGTGTTTCCTCCTCCAGGGGGCAGCAGTAACCTGTGTTTCCTCCTCCAGCCTCCAGGGGGCAGCAGTAACCTGTGTTTCTTCCTCCAGCCTCCAGGGGGCAGCAGTAACCTGTGTTTCCTCCTCCAGGGGGCAGCAGTAACC